ATAAATGAACAAACAAAATTAGAGGCAGATGTTTATCAGAGAGCTGAAACTTTGGACAAAGTTCTCTCCCCACCCTACCTCACCCCACCCTATCGTTCCCCCACTTCTGTGGTCACAGTGGTTAAGAGTGCAGCTGGGGAGGTAACTGTGGATGGGGAGCACAACCGACTCCTTCCACACGAGTGCACATGTGCAGTCTCTCAGGGATGCAGTGCCTGCCTCTGTCTGAGCCTCCTACCCTGGCATTCTTCGATCCTGAATAAGCCATGAGCAAGCACATAAACAGGTGCGACGTCATTCACCAATACATGGATTCATTCGCTCCACATTTAGGATTGTATGTTTTCTAGATTTTAGATACTGTGTTTAGCAAACTGCACAGACCTCAGTATGTCATAGTCCTCTGTGCTTAAAAGCCCTGAGGGGAATGAGACAAATTAGGTAATTGCAAATCAGTGTGCCGACATTAGGAGTAAGTGGAAGGTGTATTAGGATTCCTCCATAAACCCTGATAGATACATGAAATTCATTATGCCACAGTCCTGCTAGGCGCCCCCGTTCCCTTCCGACTAAATCAAAGCTTCTTAGTCTGGCATGACAACTGCTGAACCATTGGCCCCACCAGTTCTGCCAAGTGTCGTCTCAGCCGCCGCTCGGCAGACTCTCTGGACTGGGAGTGCTAAGCAGATGCCCGCAGATGGTTTCCACCGAGCCTCCTGCCAAATGACGCGGCACTCTCCATTTTCGCCGAGACATTCAATGGCACCCGTGTGGACACTCAGTTGCTGGATGGCTATTCCCTTGTGTATCCTGTATCCAGCAAATGAGACATGGACTCACCCAAGTAGTTGCGTGTGTTCCGAACTCACATAGGCCAGCTGCCCTTGTTCTTGTGCTTATATTATGCAAGCTGATGAAGTGTGAGCATGTGAAGGAAGACCGATGTTGATCTCTAAGAACGACTTTCAATGGTTTGGAAAGACTCAATAAAACCATGTTGAAAGAATTCTGCTAGCGTAGGGTTGGAAAAGGGATGGTAAAAGATAGGGGTGGGGTATCTTTAAAAGTTAGGCAACTGCACTTAAGTTATTTTGAAAGGTTTTTTCCATTTTTTAAAAAGATTCTATTTATTTATTCTTTTATTTTTAGAGAGGGAAGGGGGAGAAAGAGAGAGAGAGAGAGAAACATCAATGTGTGGTTGCTAGGGGTCATGGCCTGCAACCCAGGCATGTGCCCTGACTGGGAATCGAACCTGCGATCCCTGGTTCGCAGCCCGCACTCAATCCACTGAGCTACGCCAGCCAGGGCAGTTTTTTTTTTTTCCATTTTAAAGACAGTGGAATCAGAAAGAGCAGGTGATGTGATATGGTGTGTGTTACCTAAGAAAGGCACCATGAAACTACAATCAGTGTCCCCTCACTTGAAGGAACAGCCTTGGCCTTGTAACGGAAGAGTGGTGAATGGTGAGTGGGCATACGGACATATGTTTTTAATATGTTTTTAATTAAAATAAAGTGTTACAGGCAGATATGGATTATTTTTTATGGAAGTGCCCTGTGTCTGACTTTCGGGGGTAACCACCGAAAGTTAGAAACCCTACTGTTTCTAACTGAGACAGACGAGGAGACACTGCCGAGTGTATCTGTGACTCCCCAAATGCCCCATCCTTTGTCACAGCTCCCCGACTTTGAACACGCTGTTCCCTCTGCTTGGAGTGTCCTCTTCGCACTCCAGGCTCCTCCATCGGGCGCACACCCACCGACTCCGTGCTACCGCATTAGGTGTGACTTCCTTCACATTACCCTTGGAGCTTCTTCCCTAAGGCATCCGTGTGTGTGTATGTGCACATGTGCGTGCACACGTGTGCATGTGTGCCTCACCCAGCAGCAGACTCTCCTTCCTTTATTTGGGGAACACCCCAGTCTGGGAGGCTCCCCACTGCTGCCCGAGAGTCTGCTCCAGGGCCGGTGGTGGCCGTGGAGGTGGCTGTGCTCAGTGTCCAGAGGTGCCTGTAGGAGAGACAAGAGGTGGCTCTGTGGCCAGCACGTTTGTTTCTCTGATCCCCGCCAGATACTCTGCGAATCGCCTGGAGCCTTCAGTCAATTCCTTTCCTGCTCAAATTCGCCACATGCGTTTTTATCACTTAAAGCTGCGAATCCGGGTGATCCTATGTCTTAAAGTAGTGATGTGACATTGTAACTGTTCCTGTGTGTCATCGTCCCTATGTGATTGCGAGCTGGGACCATCCCGTCTCATCCGTGAGCCCAGTGCCCAGCACAGTGCAAAGTAATGTACAGCAGGTTCTTGACAAATTCCTGTTCATTCTGTAATCTGAAAATTAATCATTTAATTGATGAAAAAGTTTCCTCTGAAAATCCAAACCCATGTAATGCCGGCAGATGACACCGCCACAATGTCCCCAGTGGCGGCGGCGAACTGTGGCCCATTGTAGGAATCCCTCCATCCACGTTTCCGGAGGCAGACAAGCACAGTCACAGAGCGTTTCATAGCGTTTAATTAAATACGAGATGGTAACATATTGAATAGTTACATATTTAGCAGCTCTGAGAAATGTGTGTAATGCGTGTGGAAAGTACATCGTCAAATCAGAAATGCTGACTGTAGTGAACAATGGATATCTTTAAGACTAACCCTCCCCAAAACCACCGAGCTGGCAGAAATGCCGTCTGAGCTGTATCGTCCCAACTGGCCCTCCATGTACGTTGTCTCCGTCTCCCTGGCTGGCCCTGTCTTGAAGCCCCTGCAGCGATGCTACGAAAGCACGAGTACATGCATCGGAGACGGCCCATACTCGGCTTTCTGAGGCAGTTTCCCGTGGAAACCAGGCTGACAGGAGAGGCAAAGGCTTGTGGGAAATCAGTTGAACAAGCCAGGGCTCCCTGCATCCAGACGTGGTTGTGTAGTTGGCCACCTTTAGCTGTCTACTCCTCAGTGTGCTTTCCATCTCATGCCGCATAGAACCAGCAGTTTCCATCTCTGACTTCTGCCTTATCTCTGACCAGTTTTTCCTGCTTGATAACATCCAATGTGTGGTTGATCAGAGAAAATTTGCATCCTTACATTATACATTGTCGCTGAGTACATGATCAAGCATTAGCAGCAATTATAATTATGAGTATCATACATGGATTTTAAATGCTTCCAGTAACAGAGAGACACTCACACACTAAATCCCAATGGTAACCTACGCAAAAGAACACTTACATAGAAGACCCTGACGCTGGAGGGACCTTGACTTTTCTCCTCATTTCTTTAAGAGATTGTCTCTTTTTTTAGGGATACAAACTTAGGGCTTCTAGTCCTGACTTACCATGGAAAGCTGAGTCCTTAACCTGTCTTCTCTGTGTCTCAGGTTGCCAAAAATTGGAGACAATGACCACGAACACATCAGAGAGCCTCTCTGAATAAGGCACAAGAGGGCCAGGCTGGGATGAGATTTTCCGGGTTGACCTCCTTCTTGAGGTCACCTTGGCTCCCCTTTCTACAAAGGGGAAAGAGCACAAGCTCACTTGTATGTCACCTTGGTGGTCTCTTCCCTGTCTCTGCCAGAGCATTTTGAACATGCCTCCACTGTAGCATTTCATATTATTATAACCATTTGCTCACAAAGCTGTCACCTTCATTAAGTTTTGCACTGAGTGAGGGCTGGGTCCCAACCTTGCTTGTCTTATGTCTCCTGTTCCTAACACTGTGGTTTGGACAAAGCAGGCTTTTCATAAATACTTGTCAAGGAAATGAAAGAGATAATGCTTATGGAGCTGCTTCGAAAATCGATAAGCACGAAGCAAATCTAAGGGATTATGGGATTATATTCATTACTACTGATTCGGAGACATTACTACGGATTTAGAGAAAAGGACTTGGGAAGTATAACCCAAGTGTAGAATAAGATGATGTGAGTACTGTTAGGTCTCTAAACCAGCAGGTGAGGTCTAGTAGTCACTCCATCAACTCCCTTCACGGACATTGCAGAACAAACCAACAACAAACAAAAAAATGAAAAACAGTCTTCCCCAAAACAAACTAAAAGCAAAACAAAGAAAAAAAATACAAGACATAAACAACAATAACGACAACAAACCGCCCCAAAACCCTGAACGTGTGTCCGTCTTTACTGCCCCGTGTGATGTGTGCTTGTCATGACCCCGTCTCCCTGGAGTCTGTGGCGGCGTCCACGGCTGCAGAACTCGGGACGACTGGTGGATGGACTGGGGTTGGGCCGTCTCTGCGCGCACGGAGGGGCTGTTCCCCGTTCATTGCTCGCATGGGCCAGTGACCGCAGCGGGCAACAGGTTTGCCTTCCACCCAGGGGGGCGGCTGGGTGTGGCGGCAAGGGGACCACGCTCTTGATGACCAACAGTCAAAATCCCGGGCTCCTGGTGTATCCCCCCCCCTTGAGCACTTTTCAGAAAAAATGAAATGAAATGGTCTTCGTGGCATGTTGTGGCTTTCTTCACTTCCTGTGGACACGGTGGGCCGTGCGCGGTCTCACTTGGCGCATCGTGAGACCATTTCTCCCCAACTTTCTCCCTCACAGCTTTTGTCTGAGACGCTTCCGGCGTGCGCTTGCTAGCCTGGAGTGATGACTTATAACTTCTCTTTTCACTTTCAAAAGTGACCCAGGGTGGACACGAAGTAGACAGTCACCGTGCTATTAGCAAGGTTGGGCGCCTGAGAACGGGACAGTCCCTAGTGCAGAGGAAGGCCCGTGGCTCTGGGGAGGCTGCCGGTAGACTCCCGAGCATCAGATCTGGAGTGGGAAACGTGGACGAGTTACTCTAAGCCTCAGTTTCATCATCTGCTGCAAACACACGAGAAGGGGAACAAGGCCTACCACCTCCCGGGATTATGGTGAGGGCGCAGGGAGACCAGCGAGCCCTTCTGGGCCTCCTCCCCTTTCTTCCTCGCTCCTTTCTTGCCTTCCCCTTCCCTTCGCCTCCACCTTTCCCCCCACCCTGTTCGTGCTCTTTTCTGCTTTGCGAACTTTCTGAAAGAATGGAATCACTTGGGTCACCTGAAGCAGATCGCTCCTGCCTGGCGCTGACAGTGGGGAGGAGGGAGGACAGCACCGTCTCAGGGTCCTGCAGGTTGTGGGGAGAGTTACATTGGTTTGTCTTTTTCGTGCTGTGAGGGGCAGTAGGTGCTCGCGTGGTTCCAGGCCTGGGTGTCTCACAGTTCACTGGTTTTGGTAGAAGCTGGACATGGTGACGTACGCTTCTTCTTGATTTGATCCCAAGGAAGTGAGGAGGGGCTGTCCCTGGCCAGCTGGGTTCAATGCCATGATTTCCGATGGGAAAGGAAATGGAGGGAGCAGGGTGACCTTTGGAGGTCCAGATCCCAGCAGCAGGTCCTGGTACACAGGAGGCCCGTTCTTGCCCGCTTCCCTGCAGTCTGGGGACCTGGAGGAGGGGAGCACAGGGGTGCCACACGCACTGACATTCCCAGCCAGGCACCCGAGGGGTGCTTCTTCTATGCAGGTTTTGGGGGTGATGACTACGTGCTCGGGTGGCCAGTGGGGGCTCTGCACACCCACTCCGAGCCTCTGCCTCTCAGGCTCCTCTTGTTGCGGAGGAAGTGTATCCTGCAGAAAGCCTTCCACTTCGTCTCTAGCCTGAATGCCGTCCACCTTATGAATCTGGCAGTCCAGGAAGCTCTCGGGATTGAAACTCACATTCAGGTTCTGCACCAGAAAAGAGAGAAGGCATGAGGAGTGCACCACTGAGTGTTCTGTTCAGGAGGAGATCCGAGGGACTCGTGAAGGGGGCTCACCGGGGAATGTCAGGGATGAGTCCTGAGGTTTTAGCAGCCTCATTGCTTTGGGAGGTGCTCTCGCACCTCAGGGTCTGAAATAACCACGGGAGGTGCCCTCCTGCCCTGGGGAGGCCCGGGAAATTCTGAAACTTGTATCTCATTTTAGTCTCCTACCTCTAATAGCTGCCGCTGGACTCTTATGAGGGACCCTGTTCGGGAATGCAAAAAAAAACAACCCCAAACCCAGAACCTGAGGTTCAACTATTCCTTCTCATCCAATATCCTTCTTGGCTATTAGGATGCCTTCAACTCACCTTTTTTGGTTTCTTGCACAGTTGCTCCAAAGTCTTTTTATGGTCCGGGAGGTTGGGCCATACAATGGGCTTAATTCTGAAATAAGGGGACATGGATGGATGAAAAGGATGGCAGAGGCAGAAGGCTCAATAGGTATTTCCACCTGTCCCGAGCCAGGAATCAGAAGACTGCATTTCTAGTCTTGGCTCTGCCACAGCTATGTGGACCACCTTGGGCAAGTGACTTGCTTTATCTGGGCCCCAGTGTGTCCTATCAATCCAAGGAGGAGCTGGACCAGAGATTGTTTTCAGTGACCTGCTCTGTGAACAAGACACAGCGATGGTGCCCCTCTGGGAAAGAACCCCGGGAAAAAGGAACAATGAGGCATGGCCACGAAGCGGTTTGGTATAGTTATGAAGCTACAGTTGGACTTGCTCATCTCTTCCCGATATATATATATACACACACACACACACACACACACACACACGCATATATATATGGGTATATATATATGACTCACTATATATATATATATATATATATATATATATATATATATATATATATATAGTCATCTTATTCCTTCTCTTTACTGACAGTAACTCCTTCTCTCTCGCTTTTGTAGAAGTGAGGACTATTTTCTAAATTACCCAGAGAAATGGTTTAAGATGGGGCTTTTCACATTAGAGTATTCGAGGTTCTTGAGGCACGTGGCCCTGTGCTGGGGGCATCTCCTACAGCATTAACAGCTTGATGGGTAGGTAGCTACAGCATCATGTTAGGATGAAAGAAACATGGCCTTATCCCAGGTGGAATGCAAAAGTCCCATGGGTTGTGTGCTACAGGTCAGGACTTCAAATATATTCCGCGTTTTCCGGGGGTGCCCCTTGCTGCCCAGGCCTTCTGGGGGCATGGCTCCTACTCCTTCAGGAGGAAAAGCTGGGGGGAGAGCATTCCCCTGATATCCAGTTTATGTAGCTCTCCTCTTCGGAAACTAACTATGGAAATTCACAGGTGCCTGAGGATGAGGAGGGTGTGGGCACTGTAATTCCTCAAATGCCTTGCTCCCCCTGGTAGCTTTCTCATCAATAAATATGGTTAGAACTCTGACTATCTGTTATAGCCACCCTTTTGATGAAAGAAATTCACCTTTTTTTCCACAACACACAGGCCAAGATGACCATCAGAGCCACAGAGAAGAAACTCAGAATGCTGATGATTAGTAGGATAGGGTCCATCTTTCCTGGAATGCAAGGATAGTCCGAGGTTAACAGTCTTAAACGAAGTGTGCTGCGGAAGAGACTTCAGGATGATCTGAGTTTGCTTAGGAACTCAGGTTCATTCACTATGTCTTGGAGACGGCTCTTCAGTGAACAGGATGATCTCATGGCTTTGTGGGGGAATTTTGGCTAAAGCGGCACTGACTTAGGGGACCAGGTCCAGAACATCTGTCATTTGGAATGTAAAAGCGACCTAGCAGTTAGATCCCAGCACTCCCTCCCCGACTACCATCACCAGGAGAGAGAAGCCAAGGTCGGGGCGTGAGATGAGAGAAATGTTCTCTCTGGCAGTCTCAGACATTTCTAGGGGGACGACGAGAGGTTAGTATGGCCAATCGGTCCCCTTTTTTCCCCAAATGGGAGGTGCTTCAGGTCCCCAGGGGCCTACTTGAGCCATTCCCTTTGGCTCTTCTGGGCACTCTCATTTCCTAGACCACCAGGGTGTCTTCATTATTCTGGAAAAGGGGTCATGGGAGAGCCACATCAGCCTGCCAGCCTGCCATCAACAAAGGTGTTCCCTAGGGGGGCCTCGGAGATCCCAGTGAGATTGGTAAATGGGAGGTAGTGCCTGGGGATTTGGGTCAGAATCATTAGCAGCTCCCAGGAGCACCCGGGACAGTAGAGTCCAGACAGCCTCTATCAGCTGATCAGCAACCCAGGGTCTGACTCCCAGCACTTCCTGGTTCTTCACAAAAAGGGCAGAGACGGCAGGTCTTCTGCAAAGTGTAAGAAAGCCCGCCGGGGAGCCAGCTCTCTCGCTCTCACTCACGCACTTGGACAGCCCACGTGCTCTGCACGGCCCAGAGACGGTGCCCATTCTCACCTTGGCCGCTGGTCCCTGGAGTTCGGAAGTGGAAACTTGGACTCCATTCGCTCCAGAAGCCTTTAAAATAGTCGGGACCGGGGATGGACCGGACTTTGATCTCATACATTGCATCAGGTTGCAGCTTTCTCTGTAGGAGCGTCAGCCTCGTACTGGATAAATTCACACGCTGAAGAGCAAAAAGTGCCACTACAGTTTTAGGATAAAATAAAGGGGTACTCCCAGATCCCCCAAGTCATTGAAGTTGAGCGTCTTTTGTCCTATGGACATTTGCTCCAAGCTCTCTTATATTTGTTACAAGAAGAAACTAATACGCGGAGGGGTCAACCGCAGATTTTGGGACAGAGACTATGAGCTCCTGAACGACGCTACAAATGGCCAAGGAGGGCAGTGGCCCAATGGGTCTTTATTCAGGTGGGTTGGGCTCTCCCACTCCGAGAGGATGTCAATCACTCTCCCGCCCCCACCTCTCTTCCCGCCCTTCAATCTCTTCTTTTTCCTTCTCCTTTCGCATCCCAAGAAGGGATGAAAGGGAATGGTCAGGTTAATGAGCAAGAGTCATTTTCCCCCAGAAGTCTATTTATGCATTCCTCTTTCCTTTCACTCCATTTAGCTGCCCTCACCACTTCCATTGATCAGTGTTGGCTACGACGTGGTGATGTTTTTGCCTCGATCTGCCTGTGAAAGTTGTGCTTACACAGGTTACCTTTTGAGGTCCCCAGATAAAGAGGATTGATTTAGTCTTGACTTGTATTGCTAGCCCACAGCTTAATTTAGAGACACCACAAAAACGAAAAAAAAAATATAGAGCAAGAAAGATAAAAAAACAGAGTTAGAAGAGGAATGGGTAGGCCAGAGGAGGCCCAGGTTTTGTAGAACCTGGAGCATTTACTCTTAGAGCTTCTTTCAGCAAAAGGTACATTTTGAGCATAAAATTGCTAAGGGTGCTCCCCAGGTACGTATACCTCTGGAACAATAAAATACGTAACATTACGACATTTCTATTTTATACTGTGGTACATTTATACATTTTAATGTATATGTGTAACTTATTTACTAAATATGTATATATATACACACACACACACACCTTTATACATTTTCATAATCTATAAATCTAGTTGACTCACCATCCAATCAGCTTCATCTTTTTCCTGGCGGTAGGCTATCTCATGTATTAAATTTTTTACATAATTCTTTCGCAGGTGTGATGTATTAAATGTCACCACAAAGTCATTTGCTTCCTCACGATAGACGACGTTTACATCGTAAGGAGCCTCAGGTTTAACTGGAAAGGAAAAAGAAATGAGCTCAGCCAATACAGCATTCAAGAAAATAATTATAATGTTTAAAGTTCATCTGCCCTGGAAATCACACTCTTGTTCAGAAAATTATTTCTTCTTTTTCCCAGTTGGAGCCCCGACTACATTTTCCAGCCTCTCTTGCAGCTGGGTGTGGTCTAGTGAGCAGTGTGAGCAGAAGCCTTGTGCATTACTTCCGTTCCTGGCCCACAAACCCCACAGCGTGACCCCAGGCTTGCTCCCCTTCCACCTCTTGGAGTCATATACTGGTGACAGTGGAGCCACAAGATGAAGGGGCCCAGAATGTGGCTTGGAGGACCTCCAGCCACAGGCTAGAGACACCTATTTCACCCTCAGGGGAACAATAAATAAGTTTAATGATGTTTGAGATACCATATGTTTTAGGGCTTATTTGTTTCAGCAGCAAGTGCTAATTTTATACAAAACACATGTCTTCACTTTTTGAATACTTGTTATTAGCTAGCCCCAAAACAGAGTGGTTAAGCTTTGAGTCTTCACTATTCCCACTGAGATCAGGCAACAAACTTGCACCCCATTTCGACTATAGGGAAGTTGAGGGTCTGCATCCTGGCCCTGGCTGGAAACTTCCAGTGTGACCTCAGACTGTCTCCTGCTTCAACCTTGCTTGCATTTGCTGCAACCTCCTCTCTGGCCTCTTCCTTCTGCTTCCCTGCCTCCCAGGGGTGCTGTTAGGATCCCAGGCATCTTATGTGAAATGCTGTTGGAGGGAGGTAGGTATTAGTTCAGGCAGAGCAAACCCTGAGAAAGGTTTGAATTTCTAGAACAGGGGGTGTGTCAGGCTCCCTGCCACCGTGACCGTGACCGGAGCCTTCCCGGTCTTGGCCTCTTAGCTGCTCCCTCACCAAAGCCTGCGAGGTTAATTATCTAGGGAGGGAGTGGCGACTTTTCTGCCTGGCTGACCTCAGACAGAGATAGGAGGACACATAGGTTAAAATCTAACCTAAGCCTGCAGTTAACGAGAGAATCCAACTTTCACTCAGTAGGCTGAGCTGATTCTGGGCCATCTGAGCTGGACGTTAAGATTGGCTTGTGTGGTGGAGTTTGGCCCACATGTTGCCATCAGCTTCTCATAGTGGTGAGTGCCCGAGTTTCTCCTGCATTGCTCCAGAGGTCCTACAGAAGAGGAAGTGGCTTGTTCTTTGCCCTTGGATGTCTCGTGAAAGGGGACGCTGATTCCTTGGATACACCAGATAGAGAGGATGCTCTCAAGGGAAGCAGCAGGACAGGGATGGGTGCGGACAAACAGGCCGACAGGGAATACTGTCAACCCTTTCCCACCGGCCACGCCACGTCTCGCCCTTCCTTCAAGGGAATAATTAAGAATCACATTCTCCACAGAACCTCTGGCACTGAGTTTCTTGTTCCATCCCCATCTCCCAAGGGAGATAAAGGAAGCCTTAAGGGAAGACCAGAATAATACTGATTATATACCTACTAAGGGCCCAGTGCTTTACTTACGCCATCTGCCATCCACACTCATTTACGGCCACTCTGCTGATGAGGAAACTGAGCCTCAGAGAAGGTGGTTAGTTTTTATTCAGCTCCCTGTGGGATGGTTTGAGAGGACTTAAATTCAATTCTGTCTGCTCTGAGGCTCACTCTTCTTTGTGCAGCTTTTGTTTCTGGGCCCCGTTAGCTCCCACTGGCCTGTTCACCCATAAGTGTGCCTCTAGCTGAAATGTTGTCTCCGAGCCCATTGAAAAAGATGCTCATTCCTCAAGCAACATTTAAGCACGTTCACTTACTCGTGCACAACCCGGACAAGTATATAAATTTACCCTGCCAAGAAAAGGGGGCAGGCGGGGAGCTTTCCCTCTAGGTCTATGAAGACGGGGAAGGAATGAGGAGGCATGCGGCTGCCGGGGAGCGCTGGCTCTGAGGTTCCACCAGGAGCATCCTGTTGGAATGTAATTAAATGTCAGTCCTATTAGTGAAAAGTCACAGTAGGAATCAGAAGATGCTACCATGAGACACACCTCCGCCACTTCTTATTCTCTTTGCACAGGGTGCTTTCCAAACCCCGAGGTGCTCCAATGAGCCCCCTTTACAGGGGCCTGTGCTACCTACCGCCTGCGTGCATACCCTGTATCTCCTCCATGCCCCTCAAACGAGGCTGTCAGGTATATGGTCTGCAGGGGCTACAGAATGTGGACCTGTAGAAGCCCTGGGCATGTGAGATCTGGGGGTTTGGATGGGGCAGGGCACCCCCCCAGAGCTATGGGTGTGTCATGCATGTTCATGCACTCGCTCTATGAAATGCTTGCAGGCCTTCTGCGGGGGCAGGGCTCTGGAAGAAGGGGTCTCCTTGAAGCTCCAGGACCCTGTTAGAGGAGTGAGCATATCTGCCTGCTCTGCCTGCTCTGCCTGCTTTCACAGTGAATGTCGCTTTGCTGTGTGAATAGTAAACTATTAGGCAGAGTGCTCTTGGGTAGTGAATACCCAGAACACCCTTCCCTAGCAGCCTGATCTCCACACGAGCTAACCCAGCGAGCGTGTGTCTCGTACACGGAGACACCCTGTGATGGTCGTCTCCACCCAGCACTCTCACTCCTGTGCTGTCCATGTCTCTTTCCCACCAGCTCTGCTTTTTCACAAGATAATTATTCACACATGGAACTTCTGCTTTTACTCTGTTTTACCATTTGGTGAAACAAAGCTGAGACTAGATTCCACGTTTCTCTTTGCTGTCTCTGATGAGTATTGCTCTTACATTTAATTTTGTTGTTTGAGGGTAAAGGTGGTGGTGGGGGGGAGGAGTTTGAGAATTTGGAGAGACAGAGACACAGTATTCAAACCCAGCGAAAGAATTTATATGTTCAAACACTTTGAACAGTGTTTCACAACAGAATATGTTGTTTCACATATTCTACCTATGAAATCTCCATAGGTAGAATACATACAAATACTTAGTATTCCATTGCACTGATATATCATAATTGGCTTAGACTTTCTTCTATAGCAGGTTATCTCAGGTTTTGAAAAAGGACTTTATTTACATCAGGGTCATAAATCTGTTAAGTAATCAAAGAAATTTTTGTGTCTAAATTCCCAATTTTTCGAATTGTTTTGATTTACTTGCCTGGTAACCAAATGGTAAATTGGTCATTAATATTGACCTAGAAGCTGCTACTTGAGTGGATCTACTGATTTGTACTATTTTTGCATATGGATATTATATAGAGCCAAAGAAAATATGCAAATGTGTTTGGTAACTCAATTTATAATTTTATGTAAAATATAATTATCATTTTTAGCAAAGTATAATACATGCTTCTAGGCCAGCTCAGACTTGGCATCGATCCTCAATGACAGGTCTTTTAGGAAGGCGTGATGGTGACTTCATGTATCAACATGGCAACCGTTTGTCTGGGCAAACATGAGCCTAAAGATATCTCTTAAAAATACACAGCCAACTTTAAAACAGTAGACTTTGAGTAAAACAGATTACCCTCCAGAATGTGGTGGGCTTCATCTCGCCTGATGAAAGACTTAAAAGCAAGGGCTGAGATTCCCTGAAGAAGAGGCAACTCTGTCTCAAGAATGCAACATGGAAACCCTGCTTGGGTTTCCGCACTGCCTGGTCTGCCCCGTGGAATTGGGACTCAAGACTACAGTCTCTACTCGACCTCAACCTTCACTGTACAGATTTCATATCTGCCAGCCCCACAGTCATGTGAGCCAGTGTGTGTGTGCAGTGTGTGTACACACCCACTGTACACACACACACACGCACACACACACACCTCCATATATCCCTTACTGTCTGCTCTGGGGAACTCTAATACAGAAGGCATGTTGACTGTTTGAAATAACTTGATTATTTAGCTAAACATACTCAGAATATAGTACACATAGGGTGAGAAGACTGCAGGAAACTCAGGTGAAGGTAAGGTGAGGAAGGAAAGGACATGGGTAAGGGGATGACAGGAGACCCACTTAGACACTTCATATAGATGACCTCTTCTATCAGTCAGTAGGTGCCAATCACCCTCATTCTGAGTGTGGAAATCCAGAGAACTCCCACAGTAAGAATTAATGGCATGAGCTTAAAATGTTCCATTTCTTTTAAAAATGATTTGACCCATAAGTACAGAGAACAGACTGACAGCTGTCAGAGGGGAGGGAGGTTGGGGTGCCGGGTGAAAAAGGTGAAAAGGTTAAGTGCTGCAAATTGGTAGTTTCAGAATAGCCACAGAGATGCGGTTTGTAGTGTGGGGAATGCAGTCAATAATGTCAAGATTAGTGGGTGTGGGGTCAGGTGGGTGCTTGGGACAGCAAGGGGACCACTCCACAGAGTGTGTGGTTTTCTGGCTACTTTTCTGTAAATCTGAAACTGTTGTAGGATGGTATTGAATGTAAACTGTGGTTGAAAAATAAAATACATTAAAAAATAAGAATTATTTGTATTAGAGAATTTGATGTCCTTTATTGCAAACGACTTTCATGATTTATCCACTCATGAAATACTGATAATCCAGACACTATCAATATCTTAAGACATCTGAAAAATGGTAACCATCCCCCCCCAATCTTCTTACCTATATTGACTATCTTCATTTTCCTGCAGGTTAAGATCTTTCCTCTAAGCTTCACACAGATTTTGCTGTCTCCAATCAATAAGAATTTACTTGTCTGGATGAAATATATCTCTTGCAGTTTACGAAGATTCAGGCAACTTACATCCACAAGGGACCCACTGAAAGAAAAAATGGGGTCTGTCTTAATACAAGCAGGAGTTTCTGTACACAGGGCTATGGCATCATGGTACACTTCAGTTGTGTGACTTCAACTCTGTCCATAGGTAACTGAGTGGATAGATGAGGGTGAAAGAGAGAGAAACAATTAAAATAATGTAGCTTTTTGCTGCCATTACTATCAGTGATGATTTACTCAAGCGTTAGATGCAATTGAACCTAAAGTAGTCAAAACATATTCATAAAAGTAATGGAAAATTCCTGTGTAATAAATGATCGTTGAAAAACAAATCCTTTGCTTAGGCGAGAAAGTACTTTCATTTTATGACGTCCTACAGGAATAAATGAAAGGAATAAAGCCTATAAAGACAGGTCTTAAAAAATTCTTAAGACCAATAAGTCTTAAGGGAAATGATGACATAGTCTAAAGGATTATATACATACAACCATATATACTTAATGGGTAATTTAGGGATTTTCATAGGTAATTTTGACTGTGGTCTACTTTTAACTCATCCGCAGATTTTAAAACCAACCCTTCCAGCCGTGCTCCCTACTTAACATGCAATAGCAATGCTCGGGGGATTGAGTTTTGTCGCTTCTGTAACTTTCTGTTCCCAATGAAGATCAGGCTTCCAGAAAACGGAGGAAGGGGGAATGTTTCCTACCATGCAACTAGCATCAAAAGCTCTAAATTGTACTCTTTCAAAAACTTCCTATTAAAAAAAAGTATAAGGGTTAGTTCCAGGAGTGATTCCAGTAATGGCCGAGTGACGTATATCACACTAATCTAATAGAAACTACTATAAACTTTGGACAATATATTTTTGAAAATCCTACTTAAAAGCATTGGAGAGTGACCAAAAGCAGGCAGAAACTAGAAGGAATTTCATCCTTTTAAAAAGGTTGGATAAGATCTATGTTTCTTTTTTTTTTCCTTTTCTTTTTCTGGTTTTTTTTTTTTGCCCGATGGCACTCCTTGAGGCACATTGTGTTAGGAATCTACAATATAACAAAGAGCCCCGGTTTTGTCTTAAGGAATCAGAAGGAAGAATTTTGGGGGACATGTCTAGAAATGAGAAAAATAGAGAAATGGAAATGCCAAGTCAGCATGTAAACCCACTCGTTATTGTATGTCCCCTTAATTATGCCTGTGTGGAGGAGACTATACAGTAGTCATCAGGCTTTAGAGAGAATTAAGCATAGATTTTAGACACTGCCTCAAAAGAAGAAGTTGGATTGATCTAGGCAAGTTAACGAACAGAGCTAAAATGAACATTCGCCAGAGTACAACAGAACCCACACCCTCATTATCAAGAGGGTTTTTCCTACATTAAAAAGTTATTACAATTAACCAGGAAAAGAAAAATAGCAGTTGATAGAAACTGATCCTAAGATGATTCAGATCTTGGAACTAGAAGAAAAGAGACTTTAAAGCAGCTTTTATAAACACGTTTAAGGGCTAAATATAAAACAATGTCATGATTATTACACAGATGTTTAATATTAATGGAGAAGTCGAAACAATAAAAGAAAACCAGATGAAAATATAACAGGCACATATCTAAAAATTTTAAAAAGGCACTGAATGTATGGGGTAGGCTTAAACAGCAGATTGAAGGAGGCAGAAAAAAGGGTCAGTGAACATGAAGACAGACCAAGAGACATTACTGAGTGTGAACTAAAAGAGAAAGTGTTGGTGGCCTGTAAGGATGAATACAGGGTCCGGCAGAAGTGACACCTGTGTGAGTGTGGTGGGCAGGGTGATAATATGGGTGTAATGATTTACAGTTTTAATTGGAGCATTTCACCTAAAATGTCATATGGTGTGTTTGAGTATGGCATTATTGTGTTACAGAATTACATGCTGATGATTTTGTAATAAAAGATTTTGTAATTAAAAAAGGGCATGATTGGTGCCAGACCCTGTATATAGAGTTCCAGAACAAAAAGAGAGAAAGAATTTGGCTAAAAAATATTTAAAGAAATAATGTCTCCAAATTTTCCAAATGTGGCAAAAAGTTATCAACTTTTGGGTTTAAGAACTCAGCAAATACAAGCAGGCCAAAAAAAAAAAGCAGCACAGCATTAAAGCCAAGCACACTGTAGTCAAAGGGCCGAAGAACAAAGACAAATAGAAAATCTTGAAAGCATCTGGAGAAAAATACCACTTTCCACCAGAAACCATGAGAACCAGAAGACAGTGGAATAATATCTTTAAATCTCTAAAAGAGAAAACTTAAGATGTGTACCTTAAATTCTTGTATGCACATAATATTCTTCAATAATGAAGGCAAAGTAGAGATAGTTCCAGATGAATAAAAATTGAAGTAATTTGTTTTAGGAAGTTCTTTAGACCAAAGGGAAATGACACTAGATGAAATTTCAGATATACAGGAAGGAATTAGGGGTACCAGAAATAGCACTTTGGTAAATATAAAAGACAATATGTATTTCCTCTGAAGTTCTTTAAAGATAACTTACTAATTAAAGCAAATATTATGACATTATTGTGGCATTTATAAAGTATGTAGAAGTGAAATATGTGGCAATAATAGTGCAAAGCATAGGACATGATAAGTGGAACTATATTGTTGAGAATTTCTTATATTTTACATGAAATAGTACAATATTAGTTCTAAAGAAACTCTGACACAGTAAAGGTGAATATTGCAATCCTTAGAGTAATCACTAAAGAGAGATATTGCCCAAAAGTGAAAATGAGGAAGAAACTGGATATCTTAATAGTTCCATTTCTGTCAAAGAAATTAAATTTATTATTAATAAACTTTCCTACAAAGAAAACTGTACCTCACATGGTTGTATACTTGTAAGTTTTGTCAAATATATAAGAAATAGTATCAATCCTATACAAAGGTTTCCTGAAAATAGAGAAGAAATGGACCCTCTTTAACTTAATTTATGAAGTTAGCTCAACCCTAGTACCAAAGCTGGCAAAAAATATTACAGAAAAGAAATTTACAGATAAACGTCCCCCAAGAATGTATATGTAAAAATTCCTTAGGAACATATTAACACACTCATGTTAATACTTAATTCAAAAGTAGGATATACCCCAGAACATCAAGTTAGGTTCAGCAATCAAAGATCAATCAATATAATTCAAATTCACAGAATAAAGGATATAAACAATCTGGTCATCTCAAGTGATGCAGATTCAGTATTTGACAAAATTCAACATCCATTTATGATAAAAACTCTCAGCAGATACTTAATAGGAGTACATTTCCCTAACCTAGTAAAGGGAATTTACAAAAAGTCTGTAGTTTATATACTTAATGGTGAAATTGTGAATATTTTCACCTAAGATAAGGACAAGGCAGGAATACCTCACCATTTATATTCAACAGTGTGCTGGACAGTCTAGCCAGCCCTAGGCAGCAGAAATGAAAAAAAGGCACCTGGATGGGAAAGGAAGAGCAACATGTTTGTTTACATGGAAAATCATATTCTCCAATACAATTTCACTAAATAATGAGGTGAATTCATCAAGGTCATTGTACAAAAGTGAGTTAAATTTGTATAGGCTAGTATCAAGCAATTAGGAAAATAACAAAAAATAACAGCTCAATGTGTGCAATAGAAACATAAAATGCATAGAAATAAAATGAATAAGGGATGCTTAAGGTTTTTGCAATGGAAATTATAAAACATTCCTGAGAGCTATTAAAGAGAATCTAAGTAAACGGAGAGCTACGTTTGTGAATTAGCAAATCCAATAATGAAAAGATGGAAAAATTCCCCCAATTGGCATATAACATATTAATCCAAATCTCAGTAAGATTTTAAAAAATGACAAGCTGATTCTGAAATTTATGTGGAAATTCAAAGAATAGCCAAAACAATGCTGAAAAAGTAGAACAAATATGACTCACACTGCTTGATTTCAAATGTACGATAAAGCTGTGATAATCAGGAAAGTTTAGTGCTGACACAAGGATAGATACATTGGTGAATAGAAAGCATACAGTGTTTGGAAGTAGATTCACACATGTAAGGTTAATTGATTTTAAATACTGGTACCCAATCAACTCAATGGGACAGAGAAAACCTTTGCAGCAAATTACCCTAGAACAATGGAGCAAATGTATGGAAGATATAAATCCTAATCTTACTCAAAATTAATTAGATATGGATTGTGGATCTACATATAAAGTTTAGAACTATAAAATATTTAGAAAAAACAGGGGGCAATGTCTTCCTAACTGTGGCAATAAAAAAGATAGTAATGACACAAATGAAATATAAAAGAGAAAAACAGAGATTATATTGGACTTCATCAAAAATGGAAATCTCCTGCTTATTAAAATACACCCTTACAAAAATGGAAGGCAAGTTACAGACTGAAAGAAAATAACATTGATGCATATAGCTGACGCACAAGTTGCATCCAGAACATATAAAGAATTTACACCCATCAATAAGAAAAGGACAAATAACTCAATAAAAAAGACAAGAAATCTGCCCCCCAAAAGATGTACAAATGACCATGAAGTATGTGAAAAGATGGTCAACATTGTTTGTTATTTGAGAAATGTAAATGCAAATAACTGGATACTATTTCAAAGCCAAATGTTAGCAATGAATGGAGTGTGGGCAGTACAGTGAGGGCAGGAGGTAGAATGGTACCACCACTGTGGAAACCTGGTGGGCAGTTTCTTATAACGTGAAGTACACGCCTACCACACCACACAGCAATTCCACTCTGGTTTTCACTGCAGAGAAACATGAATGTGTATGGACAAACTGATTTGTACAAAAATGTTAATAACAACTTAAAAATAATCATCTCCAAGTACATAAATCTCAAATGTCCATCAAGAGGAGAAAGGATTAAGACTTGCGATGCATTCATACAGTGGAATTAATACCCAGCGATTGAAAAGATGAGTTATGAGACATGCGTCGACATGGATAACCTCAAACACATTGTGTGTGGAGGAAGTGAGTCAGAAAAGAGTGAACAGTGTGTTATTCCATT